ACAGAATTAGAATCTCAAATGGCTAAGCAAACTGCTCCTCAAACAGTTGAACCAGTTAGACAACCAAGGAGCCCCCCATCAAATTTAAAAACAAAAAAAGATTATGAAAATTATTATGTAGCGAAATACTTTAACAATTTAGATATATATAGTAAAGAAGATTTAGATTCAAATTATCCCAAAAAACCCTTTCAAAGATCTCATTCATAGCAAAAAGATAACTCTATTAGATTAGAGGAGAAAATGTATGAAATTAGGCATATGTTATCTCATCTTAATATAAACAATCAATACAAAAAACTGATAGCTAAATCAAATCGAACACAACAATATTATCCTTTTCAATCAATAAATTATAACTTTTCAGCTAATAATGAAAATAGTGGGTATAATGAAGAAAATGATATATAGTATGATGATTCTGAAAAAAAAAACGAGTATTAGTAAATGAAAACTTATCTGGTAACTCTGCTAATCCTTCTTTTAATTTAGTGACTAACCACACTGAAACATATGATCAGCTATTGTCTAAGCTTTTACCAGCAATGCAAAAAATGTGTCAATCTCATACTATTCAAAAAGAAAAATCAAAATCAGATGAGTGGTTCTCATCTCTACAATACCTGAATGCTAGTATAAACGATTTATCTATTTCTGGATCTTTTTTAGATAATGGAAGTGAATTTGGAGCCTTAAATGATGCAACAATTAATGCCCTCGGATGGAAAGCTGACAAGCCATCTGACTTTGATATAAAAGATAACTCTAAACATATCATCGAATCGTTAGGGTGGTTTATAGATATGCCAGTTAGTATAAAGAATAAGGATGGTAAAACTGTTATAGCTACTAGAAATTTTACACGTATTAATAATAGTGAACCTGAACCAATGTTATGTTTAGGTATGACATGGATTCGAAAAGTTCAAGATATTCTTGACCCAAATAAAAACCAATTTCGAATGAAATTACATGGTAAGTCTTATATTATTCCAACATTCAGCAAGAGCCCATCTAGCTTGACTAATAAGGAAGACTTAAAAAAAAATGTGATGAACTTGAAAAGTGATTCATAAAGACTGAAGAGTGGCTTGATATGGTTTTAAAAGCAGGTAAAGCTCTTGCAGAAAGATGTTCTCAGCTTACTGAGACAAAGATGGAAGCATAGGAGCTAATCTTTCAGTGTCTTTCATTAATTTTTCAAGATCATTTTTCCTTCTAAATATATTATTGCTTTGCAGGCCTGTAGGGGGCGTCTCTTTGAGACATAGAACTTTGTTCCTATCAGAAGAGACACTTTTTTTTACTGCATATGTGGAATTAGAATTTTGAAGAAGCTGAGCTTCGAGTCTTTAACTCGTCTTTGGTCATGTTATCTCTGCTGATTTATTTAGTGAAGCTTTAGAGTAAATCATATCATTTGTATTAGATGAATTATTGTCAGAGGTAGACATATCATGGCTGGATATACTAGACTGTACTTGTACACTTTGTGCATTATGCAAAATATTTAAATTTTGATTAGAGTTAT